CACTGGGGAGGGTATGTGCTATGGTGAGTGCTGTGAATTGTGCAAGACTGTTGAATCACAGATCTGTACTTCTGAAACAAATAATACGATATATGTTAAGAAAAAAGATAGCAGGAGGGGAAGAATGAAGGGGGGGAAATTGGAGGGGGAGATGAACCATGAGAGACGATGGACTCTGCAGAACAAACTGAGGGTTCTAGAGGGGAGGGGGGTGGGGGGATGGGTTAGCCTGGTGATGGGTATTAAAGAGGTCACGGACTGAATGGAGCACTGGGTGTTATGCACAAACAATGAATCATGGAACACTATATCAAAAACTAATGATGTATGGTGTTTAACATAACAATAAAAAATTTAAAGAAAAAAAAAAAAAGGAGAGGCTTCCATGATCCCTAGCCCTTTGTATTTTTGTGCTTGCCAGCTTGTAAATTTATTGCAAGTGATTCCCAAAGATGTTGTTCTTTTATTTATTTTTTTTTAAGATTTTGGGGCACCTGGGTGGCTCAGTCGTTAGGTGTCTGCCTTTGGCTCAGGTCACGGTCCCAGGGTCCTGGGATCGAGCCCCACATCGAGCCTGCTTCTCCCTCTCCCACTCCCCCTGCTTGGGTTCCCTCCTTTGCTGTCTCTCTCTCTGTCTGTCAAATAAATAAATAAATAAATAAATAAATCTTTAAAAAAAAAGATTTTATTTATGAGAGAGAGAGAGCGAGTGAGCAGGAGGGGGGAGGGCCAGAGGGGGAGGGAGAAGTAGACTCCCCACTGAGCAGGGAGCCCAACTTGGGGCTCCATCCCAGGACCCTGGGATCATAACCTGAGCTGAAGGCAGATGTTTAACCAACACTTAACTGAGCCACCCAGGTGCCCCCAAAGATGTTGTTCTTGAGCAAGTTTGTACACTTCTTGATACTCAGTTTGTCAGCATAACAAAAATAAAACTTGTAGTTCTTGCTTTACCGAAAAGATCTTTTGAATTTTAGGTAAAAAACATCAGAATGAATTTCGGCTTCTGGTGGATCAGGCCAAAAAAGGATACAAGAAAACTGTTGAAATGTCAAAAAAAAAAGTAACAAAAGAAGAAGATGGATCTACAGAAAAGCTATTACCTGTATGCGTGGGTAAGAGACTAATTACAGTTAGTAACTAAAAACAGAAATATGGTGAATTTCACTATTTATTTATTTTAAGATTTATTTATTTTATCTTAGAGCATGTGTATGTGTGAGAGCAGGGAAAGGGGCAAAGGGAGAGGGAGGAGAGAGAATCTCAAGCAGACTCCCTGCTGAGAGCAGAGCCCAACACAGGGCTTGATCTCATGACCCTGAGGTCATGACCTCAGCCAAAACCAAGAGTTGGGACACTTCACCACCCAGGTGCCCCTGAATTTTCTATTTATTTTTAATATAAAAAGAATATAAAACCATGGGAATTTACCTTTTTATTAGGTATCTGAAGTGGGAAAAAGTATTTTTAGACATATAGCGGTTGTTGAATGTAAGCTAAGTTTGTTACTGTGGGAAAAATGGGGGAATGCCCTGAAGACAAGTTTCTAAAATCTTTGACTTAATGGTAAATCAGAAGTTTCTTAGTTGTTTCAGTCTGAGGGTGTTTTCTAGGTATAGGATTTATTGCTGTACATCTTCAAATATCCTACAAATAATTTTATCTTAGAATAATTTTTGTTTTAGGTCACTGGTATTTATTTTGGATGGAATGGTCTGCTAAAAAGTCTGAAGCTTATAAACTTGGTGTGCCCATATACAGCACATCCTTAATTTGGATCCATTTTAAGTTTGAGATTAATATTATATTTCTATTGCCGGGGCTTTGGGCCAGTGAACAAAACAGAATCATAATGGAGGAAAGCGCACATGAAAATTCCTTATTTTTTTCTTTATTGTGATAAACTGTACATAATATTTATCATTTTAACCATTCATAAATGTACAATTCAGCAGCGTTAAATACATTCAGAATGTTTTATAACAATCACCACCATCTAGATCCAAAACTTTTTCATCATCCAACATAAACTCTGTACCCATTAAAAATAATAACTCTCTAGCCCTTTCCCAGTCAGACCCTGGTAATCTCTGTTCTACTTTCTGTGAGAATTTGCTTATACTAGGTACCTCATATAAGTGGAACCTTCTGTGTTAACTTCTTTCACTAAGCATAATATTTTCAAGATCCTTTTGTAGCATATATCAAAATTTCATTGCTTTTTATGACCAAATAATATTCCATTGTGTGTACATGCCACATTTTATCTGTTCATCTGTTATTTTCACCTTTTGGCTATTGTGAATAATGGTGTGTGAAGTGTTCAAATATCTGTTCAAGTCTCTGCTTTCCATTCTTTTGGGTGTATACCTGAGGGTGGAGTTTCTGATTCTTATGGTAATCTGTTTACCTTATGAAAAACCACAAAACTCTTTCCAAAGCGGCTGTACCATTTTATATTCCTGCCAGCAGTAATTAACAATTCCAGTGTCTCTGTATCCTTGCCAACACCTGTTCCTTTTTTTTTTTTTTTTTACCATAGCCATCAAGGTAGGTATGAAGTGAGTATCTCATGGTTTTGATTTGCATTTTCCTAATGACTAATAATGTTGAGCATCTTTTCATATACTTATTGGCTATGTGCTTTTCTTTGGAGAAAAGTCTGTTCATGCTCTTTGCTCATTTTTCAGTTGGTTTTCTTGTTTTTTTAAGGAATTCTTTATATATTCTGCATATTAATCCTTTTCCATGTATATGATTTGCAAATATTTGTAAATATTTTCTTGGTTGCCTCTTTGCTTTCTTCATAGTTTCTTTTGATGCACAAAAGTGCTTAATTTTGATGAAGTCTGATATATCCATTTTTTCTTTTGTTGCCTGTGCTCTTGGTGTTATATCCGTGAAATTGTTGCCAAATCGTTCATGAAGATTTTCCTCTTTGTTTTCTCCTAAGGGTTTTTTGTTTTAGTTTTTAACATTTAGGTCAGTGATCCTTTTTGAGTTAATTTTTGTGTATGGTATAAGATAAGGGTCCGACTTCATTCTTTTATGTGTAAAGCCCCAGTTTTTTTTTTTTTTTGAGAATGAGAGATAGAGACCATGAGAGGGAAGAGGGTCAGAGGGAGAAGCAGACTCCCTGCTGAGCAGGGAGCCTGATGTGGGACTCGATCCCAGGACTCCAGGATCATGACCTGAGCCGAAGGCAGTCGCTTAACCGACTGAGCCACCCAGGCGCCCTAAAGCCCCAGTTGTTAAAAAGACTATTCTTGGGACGCCTGGGTGGCTCAGTCGGTTAAGCGGCTGCCTTCAGCCCAGGTCATGATCCCAGGGTCCTGGGATCGAGTCCCACATCAGGCTCCTTGCTCAGCAGGGAGCCTGCTTCTCCCTCTCTCTCCCTCTGCTTGTGCTCTCTCTGTCAAATAAATAAAAATCTTTAAAAAATAAAAAAGACTATTCTTTCTGCATGGAATGCTCTTGATATTGTTGAAAATCAATTGACTATATATGTGAGGGTTTATTTCTGTTCTCTCTGTTCTACTCTCTGGTCTCTATGTCTCTTCTCATGTCAATACTGTACTGTTTTAATTACTGTAGCTTTGTTAATACATTTCAAACTTAGGAGATATGAGTCTTCCAACTTTATTCTTCCTTTTCAAGGTTGTTTTGACTAGTTGGGTCCCTTGAGATTCCATGTGAATTTTAGGATGAATTTTTCTATTTCTGCACAAAGTACCTTTGGGATTGAATTAAAGCTGTAGATTGCTTTGGGTACTTTTGATATCTTAAGAGTATTGTATTCCAGTTTATGAACACAGGATGTATTTATGGCTTCTTTAATTTCTTTAACAGTGTTTTGTAGCTTTCGGCACTTCAGTTTTTCACCTCCTTGGTTAGATTTATTCCTAAGTCTTATTGTTTTACATGCTAGTGCATTCTTTTTTTTTTTTTTCCTAAATTCTCCTGGTATCATTTAGTAGGTTGCTCCCTGAATATATAACTCATGCTCTTTGTGAACAACTTGAATGTGTTCGTGAAGTTGTTAAAGGATTTTCTTAGAAAGTAGTTTAGTTCCTGACAAAAAATCTGGCTTAATATCTCAGATTGGGAGAACATTTTTGCTTATTGGTTGAATGTCTCTTGAAAATGATTAATTGCTTATACTCAGGACTGTGCATTATATGTGTATATGCCCATAAATACTGCTCTCCGTGGGGTTCAGAGATGATTGCTGCTGGTAGGTTGTTGTGCATGAATGCACATGTCTGAGAGAGGTGGAGAGTGTGAGAGCAAGGACGACAGACAGACTAGCACAACTGATTGGGAAGTTGAGCTCTGTATAGCATCATACAACCAGTGTAATTTTTGTTCTTTGGAATAAACTTGCTCATTGAAGTGCCAATATAAGTGAATAAGATACATGTTCCCTCAAGTAAATCCTTCATCTGTTTTTGTCACATGTCTTCGGGAGGCTTGATGTCACAACATCAGAGTTGCAAGCTCTGTTTGATGTCCTTTTCTGACATCTGTGGACAGATACGAAAGATAACTTACTTTTAATGCCCACAAATTGTTGAATGATACTAATCCCTAAGAGGGAATTTATCTTGGAGAGGCTTATATAAGAGGGGAAGAAGTAAGAAAAGAATGTAAGTCAGGTGCAAAAATAAAAGATGGTTTTAAGTTGAATTCCTGCTCCCTGGTTTGTCAGCTTGATTGCATTCTCCTGTCCAGCTGAGTGTTGAATTGTCTAGGTTCATGAGTTTACTGGGTGATTGAGTCTTCTTAATGTGATCTGGGGTGTCTGTTTACAAGAGAGCTTCGAGCTCCTGGATGGTTTTTGTGGTTAGCTTCTTCTTTCCTTTTCCCAGATAAACATTAGAGGGTACAGTTTTGTTTTGGTAATGATTTGGCTTGTTGAAAGCCCAACAACATCAAGAGCTTATTTATAGAAATTACACTTTTGTGATGTATGCTGTTCTTTAGTATAACAAAAACTTCTTATTTCTGGAAAAGTCTTGACTGTATGGACTTGGAAAGGTTTCTTTTTGAAGAATCTGTCTTATTCTTTTTCCATAAAATTTCTCTTTATGACAAAGCCTTGACAGTTTTTTTAGTGTCATTTGTTGAAGGTCACTTGCCTGTACACGCATACTGGCTGAGTGATGTGTGAAAGCTCTGCTTCTCTGTGAGGGAACTCATGAAAGGGGGCTCTATACTCTTAGCACATGTGGCGTGCATGCTCAGTACTTACCCAGTTCCTGACTCTTAAAGACAGTGCACCTGAAATCCTAGCAGAGTCCTGAAACAGGTCGTGAGGGAGAGTCCTGGGCACTGAGGAATCCTTCATGGATATTATTTTCTGCACTTGTATTTGCAGATCTTTGGTCATACCTGTATGTCACATTCTTGCAAACACTGTCTGCATGCCTCCAACTTCCCTTAATTTTATCTGCAGCAAGAAACCTCAGAAATTCAGAATACGACAAGGGATACATAGAAATATGACATGTATTAGATCAAACAGATATACTAGTTATGTCTGATTAGTTTTCCTTTTTCATATTGAATATTAGATTCTATTTAGTGGATAAGAGAAATATCCAGATGGATTCACTACCACATAGTAGTCAGTGACAAATATCATAGTTCTTTCTTTTATTTTTTTAAATTTATTTATGTATTTATTTGAGAGAGAGCGAGCGAGCACAAGAGTGGGAGGAGGGGCATGGAGCCCAACACAGGGCTTGATCCCAGGACCCATGAGATCATGACCCGAGCTGAAACCAAGAGTCAGACGCTCAACTGACAGTCACCCAGGTGCCCCAAGCCCATGGTTCTCTTATTAATTGAATTTTTAATCCTTTTTTGTTATGCTTCATATGTTTGTTAGTTTTCTCTGATCTCTGAAATATGCAGGAATTCTTTAGTAATACTGTAAATAGAAGCCTCATTAGAATTACACAATTCACTATGCCTGGTTTTAAAAGAAAATTTTGTTTTTATTTTTTAAAGATTTATTTATTTATTTGTTTATTTGAGAGAGTGAGTGAGCGAGAGCACAAGCAGGGGGAGCGGTAGGCAGAGGGAGAGGGAGAAGCAGACTCCCTGCTGAGCACAGAGCCTGATGACACAGGTTCGATCCCAGGACTCTCAGATCATGACCTGAACCGAAGGCAGACGCTTAACTAACTGAGCCACCCAGGCGCTCAGGAAATTTTGTTTTTAAATTAATTAAAATGGAAATACATGGGGTGGACAGTATAATTAGATGGCACATAGTAGTGTTGATTCTTATTCTCTGACTGTTGCTAGAGTTTTGGAATCAATGTTAGGGATAAACTTCCATTTTACTAAGTATAAATAACAACATTGAATGTTGTAGAAATAATAAACATAGAGAGGTCGTAGATTTTATGGTACTCTTAAATGTTTTTTTCTTTCTTTTTTCCTTTTTAGAACAGGAAGATAAAAAAATGAAATTCTCAGATACTTCCCCTGTAACAAACCACTTCTCTCAGTCGAAACTGGAATCCCCAGGGAAAATGGAGTCTGATAGACCAGATGATTCTTCCAGCTGTACTGATATTCAAGAAGAAGCTCTTTCTTCATCAGATTCAGACTCATTCAAGAGGTAAGAAACCTATATTACTTGATTATTTTAAATTTCTATTTCCTGTGCATGCTAAGGTAGATAGGCAAAAATAATTAGAAAATAACTTTGAGGCCTGGGGCAGTTCATTGTTCTTCCACTTCAGTCTCCTCTTCTGCTTTGTAACTTGCACATGGATAGCAAGCAGGGAAGCATGTGGGAGAGTATTACAGTGGCCCTGGATATTTTTCCTGGAGTTGGAAAAGAGAGCATGATAGGCAGTGGTGTTTTTGTCAAGACAGTGAGTGAAAAAGATAAAGACAGCTGTACTAGAACATAGAAATGACCAGAAAGACAATGCATAGGAGAGTAAAACAAGAATAATTTAACTGAACAAGTAAGAATGGATGGGGAAGCTTTAAAAATGAGAGATTTGGAGGAGAGTGGTTTTTCCAAATGATTTTTTAAGATATTTTTAAGGGATGCCTGGGTGGCTCAGTTGGTTAAGCGTCTGCCTTCAGCTCAGGTCATGATCCCAGGGTCCTGGGATCGAGTCCCGCATCTGACTCTCTGCTCAGCGGGGAGCCTGCTTCTCCCTCTGCCTGCCGCTCTCCCTGCTTGTGCTCTGTCTCCTTCTCTCTCTCTCTCTGACAAATAAATCTAAAAAAAAGGATTTTTGAAAGTTGATGTATTTTTAAAAGATGACATAGAGTTAAATCATTGTATATATGTATACAATATATGCATATATATGTATATGTATATAAATTTGTGTTCTGGCATTTCATTTTATATTATAAACCATTTGTACCCGTTTCTACCTCATCTTTATAGCTGTTTTTCAGTGGGTGCAGCATTCTCCTCTAGTTCTGTACCATAAATGACCAGATTCTTCAGTTTCTGTTAGATATCTACATTTTTCCCAGTGTTCTATTTACACCCCTAAAACTGGTAAAGCTCTCTCTATATAGAGTCTTTTGTTTCTAATAAATTATTATTTTTTTTTTTTTAAGATTTTATTCATTTATTTGACAGAGAGAGACACAGCGAGAGAGGGAACACAAGCAGGGGGAGTGGGAGAGGGAGAAGCAGGCTTCCCGCCGAGCAGGGAGCCCGATGCGGGGCTCAATCCCAGGACCCTGGGATCCTGACCTGAGCCGAAGGTAGACGCTTAACGACTGAGCCACCCAGGCGCCCCCTAATAAATTATTTTTAACACTGTTTTGACAGTGGTAGGTGTTGCTGCCTTCTGAGTGAATTATACCAATTTTAAATGCTACCATCAGCATGTGAATGTGTTTTAAAAATTATTTAATCTTTGATATTTCTTCATTTAAAAATTAACAGTGCTGTAGAATGATAGACTATGTCTAAACTGAAACCCATCAAATTAAGAAATTTATTTTAAGAGTATACCCAAAGACCCTCTGCTTTCCTAGGATTCTTGGGAAACTGTTTCAAATTATTCAGGGTCGTCGGGTATTAGGAGGGGAAAATCTCACCTCATCCCTAATGTTTTCAAGGTCAGTAACATATCTCAAGTTGGGTAAGTGACTTGCATGTTGTCCCGTTTTGTCTGAGGACATGATACTGCTGCCCGGTTTCTCAACATCAGGCTGTTCCTGCAAGTCCAGTAGGCAATATTTATTTTTAAATACAAGTCATGGAGGAATGCAAGGTAAAAATGGAGGAAAATCAGAGTTCAGGGGAGTAAGAGTTCATTTTTAACCATAGTCCCAGAATGCATGTCTGGGAATACCAGGGTGAGTTTGAATTTGAAGTGGGGGAATGGGAGAAATTGTAGGAGGAAATACATGGCAGCAGATGTGTATTTATGTATTTGGTGGTGAGAGGCTGGTTAGTAGAGTGAGTTTGTTTGATGTCTTGACATATAAACATATAAAAACATAAAAATATAATATTTCAGATCTGTTGGAAAGATGAATGGAGGTAATAGATTTGAGAATATTGATAATTGTGTTTATTCTGCTTTTATAAAGATGAAATCAGTTACATTTCCTTCAGTAATGCTGCAAAAATTGGGACTCTGGCTGGATATCGCATCTCCTTCATTCTGAATCTTCAGCCATATCATAGAGTAAATTCCACAGGTTATCTTTTTTTCTTTTTTTTTTTTCCCCTCCCTATTTCTGTTCTGAACTTTGCTTGAGAAAGCTGTGAGCCTGGGCTAATTAATTAGTTCCATTCAAAATTCATTTAATCCAGCCTGAGCTGGGCGCTGACCGGTGAGGCATAGTCTTCTTAGTTACTCTCTGTTGCATTTCCCATGGCACCTCTTCCACACCAGTTGCCTGTGTTTCCTCACCGTTGATGGACGCTGTGTCTGCAGTTCACCAAGGCCAGCTAATCTGACCTGCCTCCAGCTCTTCTTTTCCCTTCTAAGGTTTTTTGTAATTTCTGATCTCTTCTTTCCTGTTTATCATAAGAGAAAGATGTATTTCTTAAGACGTTTCTAAAAAATTTTTCCTGGCAGTGAGAAAAAGACATTTCTTTAAAAAAATTTTTATTACGTTTTTAATTTTAAGTCCAGTGTAGTTAACATAGGGTGTTATATTAGTTTCAGATGTACAGTGTAGTGTACAATTCTATACATTGCTTAGTGCTCGTCATGCTAAGTGTCCTATTCATCCTCTTCATCTGTTTCATTCCTCCCCCTGCCTGCCTCCCTTCTTGTAACCATCAGTTTGTTCTCTATAGTTATGAGTCTGTTTCTCAGTTTGTCTCTTTTTTTCCTTTGTTCATTTGTTTTGTTTCTTCAGTTCCATATGGGAGTGAAATCATATGGTATTTGTCTTTTTCTGAGTTATTTCACTTAGCATTATACTGCAGGTTGTTGCAAATGGCAAGATTTCATTCTTTATGGCTGAATAACATTCCATCACAAACACACACACACGCACACTCACACTCACACCTTCGTTTTATTTATTTATTTTATTGTTATGTTAATCACCATACATTACATCATTAGTTTTTGATGTAGTGTTCCATGATTCATTGTTTGTGCATAACACCCAGTGCTCTACGCAGAACGTGCCCTCTTTAATACCCATCACCAGGCAAACCCATGCCCACACCTTCTTTATCCATTCATCAATTGATGGACACTTGGGCTGCTTCCATATCTTGGCTATTGAAAATAATGCTGCTGTAAAGGAGATATATTATTTCTTCAGATAAATTCATCTACCTCCTCTGAGACATTGCTTTGCCAGTCATCCCTTGGGTTTGTTCTTGGATGGCCCCTTTCAGCCCTTCCGCTAGTCTCTTTTTCTCTCATTCTTCCCACTAAGCAGGAAGTATTTTCTGCTTCTATGAGTTCCTGTAACAGTGTATCTGAATTCCATAGCAATTTATCTAAATTAAGTCCTTTCTTGTATTTAGTTATTTGAGTATCTTTGTCATTACTATAATTATCCATCAAAGTCCTTAAGAATTGAGTCTGTCACTCATTTTCAGAAAAATTTCCTGCCAAGGGTTTACCACTAGTCTGCTACTACTAGACCTTCACTTAGTGAATGATTTATTGATTGTAAGACATCACATTTTCTGTTTACATTTTAATGTCTGAAATTGTGATGTGTATTATAATCAATGGTGTCTTACAGTTGCTACCCACCAAGTTGTGGTTGTGATGTATTTACCAGTTTGTAAGCATCATGGCTCTTCAGACTGTCATTTCACTTGAGTTACATGCATTGTTAGCATTACATTGGTTTGTCATTTAAAATACCTTCCACAAAGTAATGAGAGAAAAAAAGAAAAATGTATGAAGAAAGTGCAGCAGAGTGTAAGTTTGATGTTAGCAAGTTAATATTCATCATTGGATGAATGCTGCAATTCCATTCTTGAAAAAGAGTCAAGTGATTTACAGGACGCAGGAAAGAAAGATACCCACAAGTCTGAAGACTTGTTATAATTTTGTTAATGAACTATGTGCAAAGGATTTTCTGTTACCTGACCAACTGAATGCAGGAGAAATGGTTAAATCCCTTGGAATAAATAGAAGAAATTTCAAAGTAATAACAGCATGACTGATTCACATGTTGCAGAAGACTGCTGTCAGTGTGTCCCACATCAATTTGTCAGACCCTTCTTGATGTCTTTGAAAAGAAGCTGCTTCTAGTCACATGTGATGTGATTGAGGAAAGAGACAAATTTAGGAAATGAATTTGCAGAGTGGATGTCAGTACCTTAGAAGAAATTCCTGGAGACAGTAGTCAAGTATTTTTGAGAAATGCTGTATCTCTGGTGCTGTTGGTAGTACAGACGGTAACTTTGTGAGGGAAAACTCAGACTTCATAGATAGTCAGAATGTGATGAAGAGGAGTCAGGCTCCAAATCTGAAGACATATTGGGAATACTTTAACCAGTTTATGTCAGTTCTTTTTTTTATATATGCACAATGGTATAAAATAAAAACATATGTTTACATACAATTATAGAATTCTCTGGATATGTAAATTTAAAATTCTAAGTGAAAAGGAAGTCTTTTTTTAAAAGATTTATTTGTTTATTGAGAGAGAGAGAGAGTGGGGGAGGGGCAGAGGAAGAGACTCTTAAAGCAGACTCCCTGCTGAGCGCGGAGCCCGATGTGGGGCTCTATCTCATGACCCATGAGATCATGATCTGAGCTGAAACCAAGAGTCAGTCACTTAACCAACTGAGCCACCCAGATGCCCCAGGAAGTCTTATATCATAGATGACTTGACCTCGATTTTTTCTGAGTGACATAAAATAATGGTTCATTTTGCCATCAGTGTTGTCTTAGGTATTTGTTTGTTTTAAGATTTTATTTATTTATTTGACAGAGAGAGAGATAGCTAGGGAACACAAGCAGGGGGAGTAGGAGAAGGAGAAGCAGGCTCCCCACAGAGCAGGGAGCCTGATGCGGGGCTTGATCCCAGGACCCTGGGATCATGACCCGAGCTGGAGGCAGACGCTTAAAGACTGAGCCACCCAGGCACCCCTGTCTTAGGTTTTTGAAATGTAGTATCTGAGTATGAATAAGGTCTCTGACT